TGTGGGGCAGGGGCACCCATGGGCGCAGGAGGTGTGGGGCAGGGGCACCCATGGGTGCAGGAGGTGTGGGGCAGGGGCACCCATGGGCGCAGGAGGTGTGGGGCAGGGGCACCCATGGGTGCAGGAGGTGTGGGGCAATGGGACCCATGGGTGCAGGAGGTGTGGGGCAGGGGCACCCATGGGTGCAGGATGTGTGGGGCAGGGGCACCCGTGGGCGCAGGGGGTGTGGGGCAGGGGCACCCATGGGCGCAGGAGGTGTGGGGCAGGGGCACCCATGGGTGCAGGGGGTGTGGGGCAATGGGACCCATGGGCGCAGGAGGTGTGGGGCAGGGGCACCCATGGGTGCAGGGGGTGTGGGGCAATGGGACCCATGGGCGCAGGAGGTGTGGGGCAGGGGCACCCATGGGACCCATGGGCGCAGGAGGTGTGGGGCAGGGGCACCCATGGGTGCAGGGGGTGTGGGGCAGGTGTGGGGCAGGGGCAGCCATGGGCGCAGGAGATGTGGGGCAGGGGCACCCATGGGCGCAGGAGGTGTGGGGCAGGGGCACCCATGGGTGCAGGGGGTGTGGGGCAGGGGCACCCATGGGTGCAGGAGGTGTGGGGCAGGGGCACCCATGGGTGCAGGAGGTGTGGGGCAGGGGCACCCATGGGTGCAGGGGGTGTGGGGCAATGGGACCCATGGGTGCAGGGGGTGTGGGGCAGGGGCACCCATGGGTGCAGGAGGTGTGGGGCAGGGGCACCCATGGGTGCTCCTATTTCGGGCCCCCCACAGCTGTCCCGATCCCACATTCCCGGGCCCAGCTCCAGCCCTGGGATAGGGCCAGGGCCAAGGACAGGGATGGGGGCAGGGCCTTGGGGGGGGGGTCCCCAATGGGGGCACTTGTGGGGCTCAGCCCCCCCCCAATCCCTGCCCCATAGCGAGGGGGGGAGGGGGGATCCCCATTCCTTATCCACGGGTGGGAATGGGATGGGGGGGGATGGGATGGGATGGGATGGGATGGGGGGGGGATGGGTCCTTGCTGTCCCCCCCCCCCCCCCCCCTTGGCTCCCAGCCAATGGGATCAGGTCCCGGAGCAGATGGGATGGGGGGGAAGAGCAGGTGGGAATGGGGGGGGGAGGGGGGAGGGATCCGGCTGGGAATGCTCGGAGGGGGCAGGGAAAAGGGGGGGGGGGGGCAAAGGGAGCCCATGGGGTCAAGGACCCCCCCCTCCCCCCCCCAAGGGTTCCATTGGGATGGGGGGGAGGATGGATGGGGATGGGGGGATGGGGGGGATGGGGGGGATGGGGGTATGGGGGGGGATGGGGGGGATGGGGGATGGGGGGGATGGGGGGGTATGGGGGGTATGGGGGGGATGGGGGGGATGGGGGGGATGGGGGGGATGGGGGGATGCATGGGGGAGGGGGTGATGGGGTGAAGGGGGGATGGGGGGTTGATAGATGGGGAAGGGGGTGATGGGGGCGATGGGGTGAAGGGGGGGATGAGGGGGGATGGGGGGAATGATGGATGGGAAAGGGGTGATGGGGGGATGGGGGGATGGGGGGGATGGGGGTGGATGGGGGGGATGGGGGAATGGGGGGGATGGGGGGGATGATGGATGGGGAAGGGGGGATGGGGTGAAGGGGGGATGGGGATGGGGGGGATGGGGGGATGATGGATGGGGAAGGGGGGGATGGGGGGAATGATGGATGGGAAGGGGTGAAGGGGGGATGGGGGGATGATGGATGGGGATGGGGGGATGGGGGGGATGGGGATGGGGGGTATGGGGGGAAGGGGGGGATGGGGGGGATGGGGGGATGTGGGGGATGATGGATGGATGCAGGGATGGCTGGGTCATGGATGCTGGAGGATGCTTGGATAAGGATGGAGGATGATGGAGAGGGACAGCCCCCACCCCACCCCCACCCCATGGCCACCCCCTCCCCATCCCTTGCCCTTTCCCATCCCCCCCCTCCCGCCCATCTTTGGTTCCCATTGGATCGGCCCCAAAGCTCCCGGGATTAGCGCGGAGCCGGGAAAATCTGAGTCACGGCTCCGGGGGCCCCGGCAGCCGCCGCCGTGGGGCTGGGACCCACAGGTGAGGGCCCCACGGGTGCCCGGGGCCTGCGCTCAGCCCCACGGCTGGGGGGGGGGCGGGTGTCAGCGGGGAGGGGGAGTGGGGTGGGATGGAGTGGGGGAGAGTGGGGTGGAGTGGGGTGGATTGGGATGGACTGGGATGGACTGGGATGGAGTGGGATGAATTGGGATGGACTGGGATGGATTGGGATGGATTGGGATGGACTGGGATGAATTGGGATGGACTGGGATGGATTGGGATGGATTGGGATGGACTGGGATGAATTGGGATGGACTGGGATGGATTGGGATGGACTGGGATGGATTGGGGTGGAGTGGGATGGATTGGGATGGACTGGGATGGATTGGGGTGGACTGGGATGGATTGGAATGGAGTGGGATGAATAACTGGGATAGAATGGGATGGATTGGGATGGACTGGGATGGAATGGGATGGACTGGGATGGATTGGGATGAATACCTGGGATAGAATTGGATAGAGTGGGGTGGACTGGGATGGATTGGGATGAATAACTGGGGTAGAATGGGATGAAGTGGGGTGGACTGGGATGGACTGGGATGGATTGGGATGAACAACTGGGATAGAATGGGATGGAGTTGGGTGGACTGGGATGGGCTGGGGTGGACTGGGATGAATAATTGGGATAGAATGGAATGGATTGGGATGGATTGGGATGGACTGGGATGGATTGGGATGGAGTGGGGTGAATAACTGGGATAGAATGGGATGGATTGGGATGGATTGGGATGAATAACTGGGATAGAATGGGATGGATTGGGATGGAGTGGGGTGGATTGGGATGAATAACTGGGATAGAATGGGATGGATTGGGATGGAGTGGGGTGGATTGGGATGGAGTGGGATGAATAACTGGGATAGAATGGGATGGAGTGGGATGGATTGGGATGGACTGGGATGAATAACTGGGATAGAATGGGATGGAGTGGGATGGAGTGGGATGGATTGGGATGAATAACTGGGATAGAATGGGATGGAGTGGGGTGGAGTGGGATGGACTGGGATGGATTGGGATGGATTTGGATGGACTGGGATGGATTGGGATGGATTTGGATGGACTGGGATGAATAAGTGGGATAGAATGGGATGGATTGGGATGGAGTGGGGTGGATTGGGATGAATAACTGGGATAGAATGGGATGGAGTTGGGTGGACTGGGATGGGCTGGGATGGACTGGGATGAATAACTGGGATAGAATGGGATGGAGTGGGATGGATTGGGATGAATAACTGGGATAGAATGGAATGGAGTTGGGTGGACTGGGATGGACTGGGATGGATTGGGATGGATTGGGATGGACTGGGATGGATTGGGATGAATAACTGGGATAGAATGGGATGGAGCAGGATGGACTGGGATGGATTGGGATGGACTGGGATGAATAACTGGGATAGAATGGGATGGAGTGGGATGGATTGGGATGGACTGGGATGGATTGGGGTGGACTGGGATGTATTGGGATGGATTGGGATGAATAACTGGGATAGAATGGGATGGAGTGGGATGGACTGGGATAGAATGGGATGGACTGGGATGGATTGGGGTGAATAACTGGGATAGAATGGGATGGATTGGGATGGACTGGGATGGATTGGGATGGATTGGGATGAATAACTGGGATAGAATGGGATGGATTGGGATGGATTGGGATGAATAACTGGGATAGAATGGGATGGATTGGGATGGAGTGGGGTGGATTGGGATGAATAACTGGGATAGAATGGGATGGACTGGGATGGAGTGGGGTGGATTGGTATGAATAACTGGGATAGAATGGGATGGATTGGGATGGAGTGGGGTGGATTGGGATGGAGTGGGATGAATAACTGGGATAGAATGGGATGGAGTGGGATGGATTGGGATGGAGTGGGATGAATAAGTGGGATAGAATGGGATGGATTGGGATGGAATGGGGTGGATTGGGATGGAGTGGGATGAATAACTGGGATAGGATGGGATGGATTGGGATGGAGTGGGGTGGACTGGGATGGATTGGGATGAATAACTGGGATAGAATTGGATAGAGTGGGGTGGACTGGGACGGACTGAGATGGAAGGGGCTGGACTTGAATGAAATGGGATAGAGCGGGATAGACTGGGATGGATTGGGATGAACTGGGATGAACTGCGATAGACTGGTCTATACTGGGATGGACTGGTCTATACTGGGATGGACCGGGCTGCAATGGGATGCTTTGGACCAGCTCGGTCCAGGCTCTATCACAACAACCCTGAGTGAACCGCACTGATTTGATGCCGCCCCCCTCCATCCCCATCCCCACCCCATTGATCCTCTCCCCCCATCCCCACCCCATCCCCACCCCACCCCATTGATCCTCTCCCCCCATCCCCATCCCCACCCCATTGATCCTCTCCCCCCATCCCCACCCCATTGATCCTCTCCCCCCATCCCCATCCCCATCCCCACCCCATTGATCCCCCCCCATCCCCACCCCATTGATCCTCTCCCCCCATCCCCATCCCCACCCCATCTCCATCCCATCCCCATCCCCACCCCATTGATCCTCCCATCCCCATCCCCACCCCATCCCCATCCCCACCCCATTGATCCTCTCCCCCCATCCCCATCCCCACCCCATCCCCATCCCCACCCCATTGATCTTCTTCCCCCATCCCCATCCCCATCCCCATCCCCACCCCATTTTTCATCTCCGGCCATCCCGATCCACACCCCATCCCCATCCCCACCCCATTGATCCTCTCCCCCCACCCCATCCCCATCCCCACCCCATTGATCCTCTCCCCCCATCCCCATCCCCATCCCCACCCCATTGATCTCCATCCCCATCCCCACCCCATTGATCCTCTCCCCCCATCCCCACCCCATCCCCACCCCATTGATCCCCTCCCCTCCCTCGCAGGTCCCCTTTTCCCTATAGATCCCCATGGATCCTTCACAGGCCGAGGAGGAAGAGGAGGATGAGGAGGAGAACGAGGCCATCCTGGAGCGTTTGATGGCGCGCCTGGACCGGGATCTGGCGCGCCGGGAGCTGGACCAGGGCTTCACGGTGCTGCAGGAGCTGGGCAGCGGCTCCTATGGGTCCGTGCTCCTCACCCAGCCCCACGAGGGAGGTAACGGAGCCCCCCTTCATCCCATGGCATCCCCCCCATTCCCATTGGGATCCATTGCTGTTATCCCATTGCATCCCCCCCATTCCCATTGGGATCCGTTGCTGTTATCCCATCACATCCCCCCCCCCATCCCCATTGGGATCCATTGCTGTCATCCCATCACATCCCCCCCCATTCCCATTGGGATCCGTTGCTGTCATCCCATTGCATCCTCCCCATTCCCATTGGGATCCATGGCTGTTATCCCATCGCATCCCCCCCCATTCCCATTGCCCCCATTGCTGTTCTCGCATCGCATCCCCCTCCATTCCCATTGGGATCCGTTGCTGTTATCCCATTGCATCCCCCCCATTCCCATTGGGATCCATTGCTGTTATCCCATCACATCCCCCCCATTCCCATTGGGATCCCCATCACATCCCCCCCATTCCCATTGGGATCCATTGCTGTCATCCCATTGCATCCCCCCCATTCCCATTGGGATCCATTGCCGTTATCCCATTGCATCCCCCCCATTCCCATTGGGATCCGTTGCTGTCATCCCATCGCATCCCCCCCATTCCCATTGGGATCCATTGCTGTTATCCCATCGCATCCCCCCCATTCCCATTGGGATCCATTGCTGTCATCCCATTGCATCCCCCCCATTCCCATTGGGATCCATTGCTGTCATCCCATCGCATCCCCCCCATTCCCATTGGGATCCATTGCTGTTATCCCATCGCATCCCCCCCCCCCGTTCCCATTGGGATCCATTGCTGTTATCCCATCGCATCCCCCCCATTCCCATTGGGATCCATTGCCGTTCCCCCCTCCCATCCCACCCCATTCCCATTGCCCCATCGCCGTTCCCCCCTCCCCTCCCATCCCACCCCATTCCCATTGCCCCATTGCCGCTCCCCCTCCCATCCCACCCCATTCCCCCAATGCCTTTCCCCCCTCCCCTTCCATCCCACCCCATTGCCCCATTGCCCCACCACCACTCCCCCCTCCCATCCCACCCCATTCCCATTGCTCCACCACCGCTCCCCCCTATCACCCCACCGCCCCCCACCACCACTCCCACCTCCCATCCCACCCCATCACCCCACCACCACTCCCCCCACCCCATTGCCCCATCACCCCACCGCCTCTCCCGCCTCCTCTCTCCCACCCCATTGCCCCACTGCCTCTCCCCCCTCCCACCCCGCCCCATCGCCCCATTGCCGTTCCCCCTCCCCTTCCATCCCACCCCATCACCCCACGGCCTCTCCCCCCTCCTCTCTCCCACCCCATTGCCCCATTGCCATTCCCCCCTCCCATCCCACCCCATCGCCACTCCCCCCTCCCACCCCATTGCCCCATCACCCCACTGCCTCTCCCCCCTCCCCTCCCATCCCACCCCATTGCCCCACCGCCTCTCCCCCCTCCCTTCTCCCACCCCATTGCCCCACCACCCCACCGCCTCTCCCCCCTCCCCTCTCCCACCCCATTGCCCCATTGCCCCACCGCCTCTCCCCCTCCCATCCTACCCCATTCCCACTGCCCCACTGCCGCTCCCCCTCCCACCCCACCCCATTGCCCCATCTCCGCTCCCCCCTCCCACCCCATTGCCCCACCACCCCACTGACTCTCCCCCCTCCCATCCCACCCCATTCCCATTGCCCCATTGCCACTCCCCCCTCCCATCCCACCCCATTGCCCCACCGCTGCTCCCCCCTCCCCTCCCACCCCATTCCCATTGCCCCATTGTCACGCCCCCCTCCCCACCCCACCCCATTGCCCCATTGTTCCCCCCTCCCATCCCACCCCACCCCATCGCTGTTCCCCCTCCCCTCCCATCCCACCCCATTGCCCCACTGCCGCTCCCCCATCCCACCCCATTGCCCCATTGCCCCACCACCACTTCCCCCTCCCATCCCACCCCATTCCCATCGCCCCACCGCTGCTCCCCTCTCCCACCCCACCCCATTGCCCCACCGCCTCTCCCCCCTCCCATCCCACCCCATTGACCCACCGCTGTTCCCCCCTCCCATCCCATCCCACCCCATTGCCCCACCGCTGCTCTCCCCTCTCCCACCCCATTGCCCCATCACCTCACCGCCTCTCCCCCCTCCCACCCCACCCCATTGCCCCATTGCCCCACCACCACTAACCCCTCCCATCCCATCCCACCCCATTGCCCCATTGCCGCTCCCCCCTCCCACCCCATTTCCATTGCCCCATTACCGCTCCCCCCTCCCACCCCACCCCATTGCCCCATCACCCCATCACCCCCCACCTCTCCCCCTCCCACCCCATTGCCCCATCACCCCATCACCCCACCGCCTCTCCCCCCTCCCACCCCACCCCATCACCCCACCGCCTCTTCCCCTCCCCTCTGGCCCCCCGTCGCCCCCCATCCGTGGGTCGCAGGCCCGCCGGTGGTGCTGAAGGTGCTGCGGAAGGAGCGCACGGAGCGCCGGGCTTTCCTGCGGGAGTTCTGCATCGCGCGGTGCGTGTCCGGGCACGGAGGGTGCCTGCGGGCGCTGCCCATCGCCTTCGAGAGCAGCACCCACTTCATCTTCGGGCAGGAGCTGGCGCCCGTCGGGGACCTCTGCGAGCTCCTCAGGCCGGGGGTAACGGGGGGGAAGGCGTGGGGATGGGGGGGATGGAGGATGGGATGGGGGGGGATGGGGAAGGGAAGGGGATGGGGATGGGGATGAAGGGAATGGGGGATGGGGATGGGGATGGGGATGGGGATGGGGATGGGGAAGGGATGGGGATGGGGATGGGGATGGGGATGGGGAAGGGATGGGGATGGGGAAGGGATGGGGATGGGGATGGGGATGGGGATGGGGGGGGGGATGGGGGGATGGGGATGGGGGGGATGGGGATGGGGATGGGGATGGGGATGGGGATGGGGATGGGGAGGCACCGCAGCACCCAAGGGGATGTGATGGGGATGGGGATGGGGTGGGGGCACAGGAGCGGCCGCGGGGAGGGGATGGGGATGGGGATGGGGGTGGGGGTGGGATGGGAAGGGGATGGGGAAGGGGATGGGGTGGGGATGGGATGGGATGGGGACAAGGATGGGGATGGGATGGGATGGGGGATGGGGAAGGGGATGATGGGGAAGGGAAGGGGATGGGGAAGGGGATGGGGATGGGGAGGGGATGGGGAAGGGATGGGGAAGGGATGGGGATGGGATGGGGATGGGGAAGGGATGGGGAAGGGATGGGGATGGGGATGGGGATGGGGATGGGGATGGGGTGGGGATGGGGATGGGGATGGGGAAGGGATGGGGATGGGGATGGGGATGCTTTCGAGGGGGGGTCCCTTTGCAATGGTTCCCTCCCCACCCTCTCCATGGGGTTCCCCCTCGCCCTGGGTTCCCGTAGCCTTCAGTCCATCCCCATCGTGTCAATGGGGCTCCCCCTGCCACGGTTCCATCCCCATCCTCTCCATGGGCACCCCCTGGCCAGGCTCCCGCCCTCCGCCTCCCCCACCCCACCTCATCCCATCCCCATCCCTCCATCCCCAGCAGGGTCTCCCAGAGGCACAGCACTGCTTCCATCCCCACCCCACCCCCATCCCATCCCCACCCCAACCCAACCCAACCCCATCCCCACCCCATTGCCCCCCCACCCCCCCCATCCCATCCCCATCCCCACCCCACCCCCATCCCCATCCCCACCCCACATCCCATTCCCCCCCCATCCCCCCCATCCCCATCCCCACCCCATCCCCCCCATCCCCACTCATCCCCATCCCCACTCCACCCCCATCATCCCCACCCCACCCCATCCCATCCCTAACCCATCCACATCCCTCCCATCCCCACCCCTGCCCCACCCCATCCCCACCCCATCCCCACCCCATCCCCACCCCATCCCCACCCCATCCCCCCCATCCCCACCCCATCCCCACCCCATCCCCACCCCATCCCCATCCCATCCCCATCCCCACCGCACCCCCATCCCCATCCCCACCCCACACCCATCCCCACTCCATTGCCCCCATCCCCATCCCATTGCCCCCCATCCCCACTCCATCCACACCCCATCCCCACCCCCATCCCATTGTCCCCCATCCGCATCCCATCCCCATCCCATCCCCATCCCTATCCCCACCCCATTGTCCCCCATCCCCATCCCCATCCCATCCCCACCCGCATCCCATCCCCACCCCATCCCCATCCCCATATCATCCCACCCCCAACCCCACCCCATTGCCCCCCATCCCCATCCCATCCCCATCCCCATCCCATCTGTATCCCATCCAAACCCCCATCCCAACCCCACCCCATCCCACCCCCATCTCCATCCCCACCCCACCCCCATCCCCATCCTCCATTGCCCCAATCCCCACCCCATCCCATCCCATCCCCATCCCATCCCCACCCCATCCCATCCCCATCCCCACCCCATCCCCCCCATCCCCATCCCATCCCCCCCCATTGCCACCCCATCCCCCCCATTCCCCATCCCCCCCATCCCCATCCCCACCCCATTGCCCCCATCCCCATCCCATCCCCATCCCCATCCCCATCCCATCCGTATCCCATCCAAACCCCCATCCCCATCCCCATCCCATCCCCACCCCCATCCAAACCCCCATCCCACCCCACCCCCATCCCCACCCCCCCCCCCTCCCCCCCCCAGCAGGGTCTCCCCGAACCCCAGATCAAGCTCTGCGCCTCCCAGCTCTCCTCCGCCCTGGATTTCCTCCACTCCCGCGCCCTGGTCCACGGCGACGTCAAAGCCGACAACGTCCTCCTCTTCGAGCCCCACTGCCGCCGCGTGAAGCTCGCCGACTTCGGCCTCACCCGCCTGCAGGGCTGCCCCATGGCGCCGCTGCCCTCCCCCCTGCCCCACACCCCCCCCGAGCTCTGCTCCTTGCGGGCTTCCCAAACCCTGGCCCTCGATCCCAGCCTCGACGTTTGGGCCTTCGCCGTCCTCCTCTTCTGCCTCAGCACCGGATGCTTCCCTTGGGCCGTCGCCATGGAGACGGATGCGGCCTTCGCCCGTTTCAGCGCTTGGCAACGGGGGGAGGCCGTGGTACCCGAGGAGTGGGGGGGGATGGGGGCGGCGGCCCTAGGGATGCTCCGCAGGCTCCTGAGCCTGGATCCCGACCGCAGGAGCCCCGCCGTGGAGGTGCACAAGTACCTGGAGATGCCCTGGGGGGTGGGGGGGAGGGGAGGGGGGAGGAGTGGAGGGGGGAGGGGGGGGGATGGATGGAAAGGGGAGGCTCCCATTGGGGTGATCCGATGGGGATGGGGGCATGGGGGCATTGGGTGATGGGGATGGGGGCATTGGGTGATGGGGATGTGGGCATGGATGTGATGGGGATGTGGGCATGGATGTGATGGGGATGTGGGCATGGATGTGATGGGGATGGGGGCATGGATGGCATTGGGTGATGGGGATGTGGGCATGGATGTGATGGGGATGGGGGCATGGGTGGCATTGGGTGATGGGGACCCCATCACCGATGTCATTGGGTGATGGGGATGTGAGCATGGATGGCATTGGGTGATGGGGATGTGGACATGGATGGCATTGGGTGATGGGGATGTGGGCATCGATGTGATGGGGATGTGGGCATGGATGGCATTGGGTGATGGGGATGGGGGCATCGATGCCATTGGGTGATGGGGATGTGGGCATGGGTGGCATTGGGTGATGGGGATGTGGGCATGGATGGCATTGGGTGATGGGGATGTGGGCATGGATGGCATTGGGTGATGGGGATGTGGGCATGGATGGCATTGGATGATGGGGATGTGGGCATGGATGTGATGGGGATGTGGGCATGGATGGCATTGGGTGATGGGGATGGGGGCATGGATGGCATTGGGTGATGGGGATGTGGGCATGGATGGCATTGGGTGATGGGGATGTGGGCATGGATGTGATGGGGATGTGGGCATGGATGTCATTGGGTGATGGGGATGGGGGCATGGATGGGATTGGGTGATGGGGATGTGGGCATGGATGTGATGGGGATGTGAGCATCGATGTCATTGGGTGATGGGGACGTGGGCATGGATGGCATTGGGTGATGGGGATGTGGGCACCGATGGCATTGGGTGATGCGATGGGGGCATGGATGGCATTGGGTGGTGGGGATGTGGGCATGGATGTGATGGGGATGTGGGCATGGATGTCATTGGGTGATGGGGATGTGGGCATGGATGGGATTGGGTGATGGGGATGTGGGCATGGATGTGATGGGGATGTGGGCATGGATGGCATTGGGTGATGGGGATGTGGGCATGGATGGGATTGGGTGATGGGGATGTGGGCATGGATGGCATTGGGTGATGGGGGCATGGACACCAATGGCATTGGGTGATGGGGATGTGGACACCGATGTCATTGGACGATGGGCACGTGGACACCGATGTCATTGGGTGATGGGGACGTGGACACCGATGTCATTGGATGATGGGGACGTGGACACCGATGTCATTGGGTGATGGGGACGTGGACACCGATGTCATTGGACGATGGGCACGTGGACACCGATGTCATTGGGTGATGGGGACGTGGACATCGATGTCATTGGACGATGGGGACGTGGACATCGATGTCATTGGACGATGGGCACGTGGACACCGATGTCATTGGATGATGGGGACGTGGACACCGATGTCATTGGATGATGGGGACGTGGACACCGATGTCATTGGATGATGGGGACGTGGACACCGATGTCATTGGACGATGGGGACGGGACGTGGACATCGATGTCATTGGATGATGGGGACGTGGACACCGATGTCATTGGATGATGGGGACGTGGACACCGATGTCATTGGGTGATGGGGACGTGGACACCGATGTCATTGGATGATGGGGACGTGGACACCGATGTCATTGGGTGATGGGGACGTGGACACCGATGTCATTGGGTGATGGGGACGTGGACACCGATGTCATTGGGTGATGGGGACGTGGACACCGATGTCATTGGATGATGGGCACGTGGACACCGATGTCATTGGATGATGGGGACGTGGACACCGATGTCATTGGATGATGGGGACGTGGACATCGATGTCATTGGACGATGGGGACGTGGACACCGATGTCATTGGGTGATGGGGACGTGGACACCGATGTCATTGGATGATGGGGACGTGGACACCGATGTCATTGGATGATGGGGACGTGGACACCGATGTCATTGGATGATGGGCACGTGGACACCGATGTCATTGGATGATGGGGACGTGGACACCGATGTCATTGGGTGATGGGGACGTGGACACCGATGTCATTGGGTGATGGGGACGTGGACACCGATGTCATTGGATGATGGGCACGTGGACACCGATGTCATTGGATGATGGGGACGTGGACACCGATGTCATTGGACGATGGGGACGTGGACACCGATGTCATTGGATGATGGGGACGTGGACACCGATGTCATTGGACGATGGGGACGTGGACACCGATATCTCCCAGTGGCATCACCCTCAGGCCCAGGGGATGAAGCAGGAGCCCGGGGCAGGCCTTTGGTGGGTGCTGGGTCCCAAAACCCAACGCTAGGACCCAAATCCCCCCCACTTTGGGCCCCCAAAGGCTCTGGGGCCGCAGGGGTTGGGCCGGGGTCTCTGTCGCCCTCTCGTGGCCAGGGCTGGAACTGCAGCGCTCCTCCGGGCTATGGGGTTTATAACTGCTATCATTTGTAATAGTCATATAAATAGCATTTAATTTATAATAGAATTAATTGTATAATCGTATGCATTATTCAAATAAATGCTAATTTTAATTATATTATCATTTATTCTGGAAATAAGTGAGGGTTGGAGGATTTGGGGTCAGGCTTTGCTTTCGGACAAGGCCATGAGCTGGAGGGCTCTGGGGGTGGTTTGGGGGCTATGGGGGTGCGTCAGGGGGGTTGGCTCTTTTATGTGGGTTCGGGTGGGTTCGGGTGATTTTGGGGGGGTTTGGGTAGTTTTAGATGATTTGGGGTGGTTTTGGGGTGATTTGGGGGAGATTTTGGGTTGGTTTGGGTATTTCTAGATGATTTGGGGTGGTTTTGGGTGATTCTGGGGTGATTTTGGGTGGTTTTGGGTGGGTTTGGGTAGTTTTAGATGATTTGGGGTGGTTTTGGGTAGTTTTAGATGATTTTGGGTAATAATGGGCTGATTTTGGGTGGTTTGGGGGTAATTTTGGGTGGGTTTGGGTGATTTGGGTTGGTTTCGGGTGGTTTTGGGTAGTTTTAGATGATTTTGGGTAATAATGGGCTGATTTTGGGTGGTTTGGGGGTAATTTTGTGTGGGTTTGGATGGGTTTGGGTGATTTGGGTTGGTTTCGGGTGGTTTTGGGTAGTTTTAGATGATTTTGAGTGATCTCGGGGTGATTTTGGGTGGTTTTGGGGTGATTTGGGGCGGTTTCAGGTGGCTTTGGGTGATTTTGGGTAGTTTTAGATGGTTTCTGGTGGTTTGGGATGATTTGGGGGGTTTCGGGGGATTTTTGGTGTGTTTGGGAGATTTTGGATTGGTTTGGGTGGTTTTGGGTGTGTTTGGGTGATTTGGAGTGATTTCGGGTGGTTTTGGGAGATTTTGGCCGATTTGGGGGTGATTTTGGGTGGTTTGGGGTGGTTTTGGGTGGGTTTGGGTGATTTTAGTTTGTTTCAGGTGGTTTGGGTTGATTTTGGTTGGTTTCGGGTGGGTTTGGGTGGTTTTGGGTAGTTTTAGATGGCTTCAGGTGGTTTGGGGTGATTTTGGGTGGGTTTGGGTGATTTTAGTTTGTTTCAGGTGGTTTGGGGTGATTTTGGCCGGTTTTGGGGTGATTTTGGGTGGTTTGGGTGATTTTACTTTGTTTCGGGTGGTTTGGGGTGATTTTGGCCGGTTTTGGGGTGATTTTGGCCTGTTTTGGGGTGATTTTGGCCGATTTTGGTGTGGTTTGTGTGATTTTTTGTTTCGGGTGGTTTGGGGTGATTTTGGCCGGTTTTGGGGTGATTTTGGCCTGTTTTGGTGTGATTTTGGCCGATTTTGGGGTGATTTTGGGTGGTTTGGGTGATTTTACTTTGTTTCGGGTGGTTTGGGGTGATTTTGGCCGGTTTTGGGGTGATTTTGGCCGGTTTTGGGGTGATTTTGGGTGGTTTGGGTGATTTTAGTTTGTTTCGGGTGGTTTGGGGTGATTTTGGCCGGTTTTGGGGTGATTTTGGCCTGTTTTGGGGTGATTTTGGCCGATTTTGGTGTGGTTTGTGTGATTTTACTTTGTTTCGGGTGGTTTGGGGTGATTTTGGCCGGTTTTGGGGTGATTTTGGCCTGTTTTGGTGTGATTTTGGCCGATTTTGGGGTGATTTTGGGTGGTTTGGGTGATTTTACTTTGTTTCGGGTGGTTTGGGGTGATTTTGGCCGGTTTTGGGGTGATTTTGGCCTGTTTTGGTGTGATTTTGGCCGATTTTGGGGTGATTTTGGGTGGTTTGGGTGATTTTAGTTTGTTTCGGGTGGTTTGGGGTGATTTTGGCCGGTTTTGGGGTGATTTTGGCCTGTTTTGGTGTGATTTTGGCCGATTTTGGGGTGATTTTGGGTGGTTTTCGGTGATTTTGGGTGGTTTTAGATGATTTTGGGGGTCCTCGGGGCTGTTTGGGTGCATGCGGGGGGGGTTGGCGGTGTTTTGGGGGAGCTTTGAGGGGTTTCCGGGGTGTTTTAGGGGTCCCCCTGCAGTACCTCGGTTCCGGCACTGGGTGGCAGCAGAGAGCGGCAGCGCTCGCTATGGCCACAGGCGCCCCCTGCAGTACCCGCTATGGCCACACGATGGCAGCACCGAAACCACCCCCCCTCACCCCCAGCCCCCCGGTACAAATCAGTGCCCATCACTCACACCCCAATGAAACCAGGCCTGGAATGATCCTTTATTACCCCTCCCCCCACCACACCTCGACCCCCCCCCCCCCCTCCCCCTCCCCCCCCCCCCCCCCCCCCCGGGGTTGGGGGGTTGGGGTCGGGTTTCATCCTCGGGACCCCCAAGTTTGGCACTGGGGGGGGGGGGGGGGGGCGACATGGGGGCAGAGCCCCCCCTTTGCTGGGTCTGGGGGTGGGGTTGCCCCCCCCCCACCTTTTGGCACCAATGGGGGGGGAGCCATTCCCCTCCCCCCCCCCAAATCCAGGCGTGCCCCTCCCCCCCCAATGGGGGAGGGGCATTGGGGGGAGCGGCAGCAATGGGGACCCCCCCCAATGGTGCTGCAATGGGGGGAGGGGGGGTTCTGGTCAGTTCTCGATGGGGGCTGCAAAAGGAAGGGGGGAGTCAGGGACCCCCAGATCCAGAGGGACTGCATAGAACCCCATAGAACCCCATAGAACCCCATAGAACCCCATAGAAACCCATAGAACCCCATAGAACCCCATAGAACCCCATAGAAACCCATAGAAACCCATAGAAACCCAAAGGATCCCATAGAGCCCCATAGCACCCCATAGAGGCCCATAGAATCCCATAGCACACCATACACACCCATAGAAAGCCATAGGACCCCATAGACCCCCATAGAATCCGATAGCACACCATAGACACCATAGAACCCCATAGAACATCATAGACACCACATAGAATCCCATAGCACCCCATAGACACCCACAGCACCCCATAGATGCCCATAAAATCCCATAGCACCCCATAGACCCCCATAGAAACCCATAGACACCTCATAGAAACCCATAGAACCCCATAGATACCACATAGAACCCCATAGCACCCCATAGACACCCACAGCACCCTGTAGATGCCCATAAAATCCCATAGCATCCCATAGACCCCCATAGAAACCCATAGACACCTCATAGAAACCCATAGGATGCCATAGAACCCCATAGACACCACATAGAACCCCATAGACACCCATAGACACCCACAGCACCCCATAGATGCCCATAAAATCCCATAGCACCCCATAGACCCCCAGAGCCCCCCATAGGACCATATAGACCCTCAGAGTACCCCATAGAACCCCATAGACGCCCACAGACCCCATAGAACCCCTTAGACTCCATAGGCCCCCATAGCACCCCATAGACCCCAAAGCCCCCCATGTGCCCCACACTCACGCGCTGTGGGGCGCTCCGGCTCAGGGGGGGCAGGGGACACGGTAAAGCGGGACCCACATTGGGGGTCCCCCCCCAGGGGGGGGCCCTGCTCCTCCTCCCACTCGAAGACCCCTCCTATGGGGGGGGAGGCTATGGGTCAGGACCCCCCCATGGCAATGGGGCAATGGGGGCCTCCATAACTGCCCCATGGCTATGGGTCTATGGGGTCCCCCATAAGCCCCCCCATGGCTATGGGGCAATGGGGCCCCCCCATAACCCCCTCCCATGGCTATGGGGCAATGGGGGACCCCATAACCCCCCCCTCCCATGGCTATGGGGCAATGGGGGCCTCCATAACCCCCCCCATGGCTATGGGGAAATGGGGGACCCCCATAACCCCCCCCATGGCTATGGGGCAATGGGTGCCCCCCTAACCCCCCCCATGGCTATGGGGGGGTCCCCCATAACCCCCCCTCCATCGCAATGGGGTCCCCCATAACCCCCCTCCATGGCTATGGGGCAATGGGGTCCCCCATAACCCCCCTCCATGGCTATGGGGCAATGGGGGCCCCCATAACCCCCCCCATGGCTATGGGGCAATAGGGTCCCCCATAACCCCCCCTCCATCGCTATGGGGCAATGGGGGACCCCATAACCCCCCCCCATGGCTATGGGGCAATGGGGTCCCCCATAACCCCCCTCCATGGCTATGGGGCAATGGGGGCCCCCATAACCCCCCCCATGGCTATGGGGCAATGGGGTCCCCCATAACCCCCCTCCATCGCTATGGGGCAATGGGGGCCCCCCATAACCCCCCTCCATCCCTATGGGGCAATGGGGTCCCCCATAACCCCCCCCTCCCATGGCTATGGGGCAATGGGGCCCCCCCCAGGGGGTGGCACTCACCTGCTCCAGCAGGGGGCGCCAAAGCGGCCTCTCCCTCGGCGCCGCTCTGGCTGCTCAACTCGTTGGTGGGGGTCTCCTGGGGGGGGGGGGGGTGTCTTAGGGCTTGGCCACGCCCCCGGACATTGACCCCGCCCCCTCCCTGTGACCCCTCCAGATTGACCCCAGTCCCCCATTGACCCCCATCCCCCCATTCCCCCATCACCCCCATTCCCCCCCATCAGCCCCCTTTCCCCCTCCCCCATTTCCCCCCATTGCCCCCCATTGCCCCCATTCCCCCCACCCTCCATCCCCCCATTGACCCCCATCCTCCCATCCCCTCATCACCCCCATTCCCCCAATCCCCCCATTCCCCCATCCTCCCCACCCCCCATCCCCCCATTGACCCCCATCCCTCATCACCCCCATCCCCATCCCCCCATTCCCCCCATCTCTCTCTCTCTCTCTCTCCACCCCCATCCCCCCATTTGACCCCCATCCCCCCCCCCATCCCCCCTCATCCCCCATCCCCCCCATGACCCCCATCCCCCCATTTGCTCATCCCCCATCCCCCATCTCCCCATTGACCCCCATCCCCTCATCACCCCCATCCCCCCATTTGCTTGTCACCCCCATCCCCCATCTCCCCATTGACCCCCATCCCCTCATCACCCCCATCCCCCCATTCCCCCCATTTGCTCATCACCCCCATCCTCCCCATCCCCCATCCCCCCATTCCCCATCCCCCCCCCATCCCCTCATCACCCCCATC